GGGATTCACCTGAGCACACCTGGGACACACCTGAGCACACCTGAGCTCACGTGGATGCACCTGGGAGGGCTTGGGACAGACCTGAGATACACCTGGGCACACCTGAGGGGATCTGGGAACACACCTGAGCTCACCTGGATGCACCTGGAGCTCACCTGGACACACCTGGGGACACACCTGAGAACACCTGAGCTCACCTGGATGCACCTGGAGCTTAACTGAGTGGATCTGGGGCTCACCTGGACACAGCTGGGGTTACCTGGGGGACACCTGAGCACACCTGAGCACACCTTGGCACACCTGGGACACACCTGAAGGGGTCAGGGACACACCTGAGCTCATCTGGGGTTACCTGGGAGGGCCTTAGGACACACCTGGGGCACACCTGAGAGGTCTGAAAATATACCTGAGCACACCTGAGTACACCTGGGATTACCTGGAAGGGCCTTGGAACACACCTGGGACACACCTGGGAGGGTTCTGGACACACCTGAGCACACCTGGACACACCTGAGCACACCTGGACACACCTGAGCACACCTGGGAACACCTGGGATACACCTGGGGTTACCTGGGGGACACCTGAGCACACCTGAGGAAGTCAGGGATTCACCAAGCACACCTGGAGCTCACCTGGACACACCTGAGCACACCTGGGGACACACCTGAGAGGGCCTTGGGACACACCTGGGGTTACCTGGATACACCTGAGGCACACCTGGATGCACCTGGAGCTCACCTGAGGGGGTCAGGGCTCACCTGAGCACACCTGGGACACACCTGAGCACACCTGAGCTCACGTGGATGCACCTGGAGCTCACCTGAGGGGATTCAGGTCTCACCTGGGCACACCTGGGGTTACCTGGGACACACCTGAGCACACCTGAGGGGATTTAAGTCTCAGCTGGGATACACCTGGATACACCTGAGCACACCTGGGCACACGTGGGGCACACCTGAGCTCACCTGGGCACACCTGAGCTCACCTGAGCACACCTGGGTGCACCTGGAGCTCACCTG